TGTAGGTATAAATAAATTAAAATAAATTATTATCATTGTATCAATATAAATACGTTTTATGCAATTATTTATTTATCAATAATCCTCGCTACATCATAAACACGATATAAGAATGACCCGTATTTATGATTCACCAGTTCATATTCTTACTATTAAAATGTTCGTGCATATCACACATCTCCCGGAATATTTGCAGATTATTACGCTATACGGAAATGATATATTATAAGACTCAATTAAAGTGATATCAGAAATATTCATGAAGAATCTAAATGATAAAAATCATTCTCTCATTTCCATACTTTGCAGGAATGCTGCAATAGTGGTGTTCTAGCTATGACTGGGCTGTTATCCATATAATGCAGGACATCATTTGCTCTAGTTTTTGTGTACATCACGTTAGATAAGGCTCTTTTTACCACGAAAGCGAATCTTTTTACCACGCAACTTTCTCACCTGTAATGTGCATCGCGTTGGTGAAACGACACGTCCGTATATGGAAACGTTTTAATTACATTAAAATAGAGTGTACATTCGCTGATAGTCGATCTAATAATTTACTATTCTATATAATACAATAATATGACATTTCACCGTAACATTTTCCTTTTATATCTATACTGCGATCCTCTAATAAAGACAATCGCGTTTAATGTGACGCAGCGAGCTAGCACATAGGCTGCTGAATAACTCATTAAAATGGCGATTCACTATTAGTTGACACCAAATTACATGGACTTAAATGTGTTGAACAGGTTTAGAACCGCATAAACCGAGCGGATTTAAAATAATGAGTACACAATGTCTGTCTAATCCTTGAGCGTTCGCACGCTGATCCTAATTCATATGCTATAATGCGCGCGAACTTGTAACGCGTGTAACGTAAAAGGGCTCATATAAATCGTGAAATTAGTTAATGAAGTGTGCGCTGTAGTATTAGCTTTAGTTGTATTTTATTGCGTTGTTGTAGTCATTCATGTAATGGTCATAATATCAAGAGCATATAAAGAACGATACCTTCTTTATATGCTCTTGATAATATGATTAATGGTACTGCGTGCTGTCACTCTCAGCATACATACTCACACGGCTAGCTCAGATCAATCACAACCTTATGCGATTCTTAACCACACGCCAACACTTACAACAGACGGTGTAAACACACCATTGTCTGCCACACACCAACGCTCACCACAGACAGTGTAATCACACCATTGTCTACAACCATACATATATACAAACACACACATATATCTATGCTACAATTAACACACCAACGCTTATGGTTGGTTGGCCATCGTACCCAGAATTACTTATTTTTACCGCGGTAAAAAATAATTTAACCGCGTTTAATTTATAGCCCATTTACCCAATCAGAGGCCTTGTTACACATAATTTAACCGCGGTTGAATTATGTGTAGCAAGGTTTCTGATTGGGTAAAACCGGTTATAATTATACAGCGGTTAAATTATAGCCCTTTTACCCACTAAGAGGCATTTTTACAAGTAATTTAACCGGGGCTAAATCAGTTTTACCGCGGTAGAAATAATTTAACCGCGGTCAATTTATAGCCCTTTTACCCAATCAGATGCCTTGTTACACATAATACATCTGAATGGGTAAAATCGGCTATAATTATACTGCGGTTAAATTATGTGTAACAACGCCACTGATTGGGTAAAAGGGCTATAATTTAACCGCGGTTAAATTATTTCTACGGCGGTAAAACTGATTGAGCCGCGGTTAAATTACGTGTAAAAAGGCCTCTTAGTGGGTAAAAGGGCTATAATTTAACCGCGGTATAATTATAGCCGATTTTACCCATTCAGAAACCTTGCTACACATATAATTCAACCGCAGAAATTATGCGTAACAAGGCATCTGATTGGGTAAACATAGTTTATCTGTGGATAAATTATGTGTAACAGGCCTCTGAATGGGTAAAGGGGCAATAATTTAACCGCGGTTAATTATTCTACTACGGTAAAAATAATTATTTCTGAGTACGATGGCCAACCATAAACGCTCACTACAGACGGTGTCAGCTCACAATTGTCTACCACACACCAGCGCTTACCACAGACAGTGGAAACATAGCAGAAACCAGCGCTTACCACAGACAGTGAAACATAGCAGACACCAACGCTTACCACAGACAGTGGAAACATAGCAGACACCAACGCTTACCACAGACGGTGGAAACAAAGCAGTGTCTAACAAACACAAAAGCTTACCACAGACGGCGTGAACATAGCAATGTCTACCACACACCAACACCTACGAAACACAAGCGTCACTACTTACCACATTACATACTACCTTATTGGATGCCACTTCCTACCACATACCAACGTTATATGACGGATAATATATATTAGACTATATTAAGCTTACCTTTCTTTCTCCATTACTAGACTTCTGCCATTCTATGCTATTTAACTTACCTCCGATTTAAAGAAATTATAAATGTAGTAAATGAAGATAATTACACCCGCGTAC